GATGACCAGCGCTTGTCTCAGAAGTTGTTGAGACCCCTCGTCCATCTCTTTTTCTTTAAACCAGAAACCTTTTCTAACCAAAATCTAAGTTTGAATTCCCAAAAACTGTACAAAAATTCATCGAAATCCGACCAAAACCAAAAAAGCGAAAGTTGAGATTTTAGAAAATGACTTTCCATCAAATTCAACACACATTAAAATGATGATAATGATGGCAATAAAAGTAAACAAAAAATCATAATGAGCAGCTTGCATCCACGAAAGCATGTGATTTCATCTATTTTTATGCTTATATAATAAATATAAAAAAATTATTAAAAATTTTCCATATTTCTTGATTACGACGATGATTTGATGGTTTTTGTATGTGAGTGATGAACATGTGAGCTGTTCTGTTGGATCTGTTGCTGAAGTTTATGATTAATGAGTTATTTTTCGGGTGAAATTTGCTTGATTTTTGAGGTTGTTGAACTTAATTTTAGGAATTTAACAGGGTTTAAGATGATCAATAATTATCCTTGATTGAATCTCAACCAGGTTAGTCCTCCCAGTTCATTAATTTATGACCAGCATAACCAACACACTCATAATCACCATATTCAGTGACGATGAAAAGGATTTTCATTTTTCGAATCGCCAAAATTGGCATAAATAATGCGGAAGAACTGATAATTGACCTAATTTGGTCTTTTACATGTCAAGTCAACTTTTGAGGGAGCTATCCTTAAAATTTCACAATTTTCCAATTAATAGGCTGTCCAACTGCTCCATTTTGAGCGAGACAGTCTCACTTTTTGGTCAGAAATCTGCTAAAGCCGATGGACAGCCTCCCAATGAACATTAGACTTTACCTTCCCTGTAGAAAAAATATTAAATTGCGAAAAATTTCATTCAGAAAAAAAAAGTATCGAACGAGGAACTCAGCATCATCCCACATCCTAAACTCCACATGTCAACATTGTCTGTTTCCTTAAGAAAATATCCAGATCAATGTGCCAATAAATTTCAATACAAAAAGATCTCATACGTCATGTGGGATACGAGTAAAAATTGTTATTAGAATGAAGCTTTGTTGGCTATAGAAATATTCACCTACGGTATCAGTTATTCAATTTATCGTGATTCAAGAGATTTTATTTTAATTGAAAAATTTTTTTAAATGAATGTTGGAGAATTATTAGAATGAAAATTTTGAACTGTAATCGATTGAGAATTAATTGATTGAACATGTTGTGGATGAATGGATTTGAAGCTTTTTTGTATTCTTGAGAAGCTGGATGAGGAACTGAAATTTGAGTTTTTTAAAAGAAATGCTAAAAAAAATTAAACTTTTCATTCAAATTTAACGGTTTTTTATAATTTGAATTTTAACGGTTTTCAGAAATTGAATTTTAACCGTTTTGAAACTTTTGAATTTTAACGGAATTTCAGAAATTGAATTTTAACCGTTTTAAAACTTTTGAATTTTAAAGGAATTTCAGAAATTGAATTTTAACCGTTTCAAAACTTTTGAATTTTAACGGAATTTCAGAAATTGAATTCTAACCGTTTTGAAACTTTTGAATTTTAACGGAATTTCAGAAATTGAATTTTAACCGTTTTAAAACTTTTGAATTTTAAAGGAATTTCAGAAATCGAATTTTAACCGTTTTAAAACTTTTGAATTTTAACGGAATTTCAGAAATTGAATTTTAACCGTTTTAAAACTTTTGAATTTTAAAGGAATTTCAGAAATTGAATTTTAACCGTTTCAAAACTTTTGAATTTTAACGGAATTTCAGAAATTGAATTTTAACCGTTTTAAAACTTTTGAATTTTAACGGAATTTCAGAAATTGAATTTTAACCGTTTTAAAACTTTTGAATTTTAAAGGAATTTCAAAAATCGAATTTTAACCGTTTTAAAACTTTTGAATTTTAACGGAATTTCAGAAATTGAATTTTAACCGTTTTAAAACTTTTGAATTTTATCGGAATTTCAGAAATTGAATTTTAACCGTTTTAAAACTTTTGAATTTTAAAGGAATTTCAAAAATCGAATTTTAACCGTTTTAAAACTTTTGAATTTTAACGGAATTTCAGAAATTGAATTTTAACCGTTTTGAAACTTTTGAATTTTAACGGAATTTCAGAAATTGAATTTTAACCGTTTTAAAACTTTTAAATTTTAACGGTTTTTCAGAAATTTAATTTTAACCGTTTTAAATCTTTTGAATTTTAACGGTTTTTCAGCATTTTAATTTTAATGAGTTTTTAAAATTAGAATTTTAACGGATATTTCAAAGTTGAATTTTATCCATTTTTAAACATTCAAATTTTAACGGTTTTTTAGAAATTTAAATTTACTCATTTTATAAATTTGTATTTTAACGGTTTTTTATAACTTGAATTTAAATTTTTAAAAAACTTAATTCATTATCACTTTTCAAATTTTAATTTCAAATATTTTGAAAATTTAAACTTCAACGATTTTTTAAAATCTTAATTTTAACGATTCTTTTAAAATTCAATTTTTCATACTTTTTTTAAGTTAAGTTGTATAGTAAAATTTTTATTAATTCATTAATAATTTATTTTATTTCTGAAATTCAATCTCAAAACAAGTCGACCTGCATCCTCATGGCGAAAAAAAAATCATAAAAAAATAAGCAAAACAGCAATCTTGAATTTCTCATTGAGCATCAATGAACATGCTCAGTTTTGCGAATGCCTAGATTCTTTTTTGAATCAATGAATGAGATAAAAATCGAGCATTTTGCTTTGTTCTGTGGATTGTAACTGGAAAAGTTTGATAATGATTTTAATTTTGAGAAAATTTTTCATCTTTTTTTGTTAAATTAAGAAGAAATTTTCAAAACTGTAAAAAAATTAAGATTTTTATTTGAATTGTTGGATTTTATAAGTTCTACAAAGAACTCAATTAATTGCTTAATTCTCCTCAAATGGACTAATTTTAACAGTTTTTTTTCACTAACAATGCAAGAAAGTTCAGTTAAATTAATATTATAAATAGCAAATCAGCTTTACAAAATGTTTGAATGTCTAATTAGAGACAATTATTAAGAAAAATTATCAAATTTTACAGTAAAGTTAAAAATTTATGAATATTTCCTGTCTTTTTTGTACATTTGCAATTTTAGACGATTCAGCAAATTTTGAGTCATTTTAAAAATGTTAAAAATTGAAAAATAAAAAGATGAAAAAAATTTGAAATCTAAAAAACCGTTAATGATTTGAATTTTCAAAAGATTTTAAAAAAATTTAAATTTTTAAAAAAAATTTAAAAATTTGAATTTTTAAAAAACCGTTAAGAATTTGAATTTTCAAAAGCCGTTAAGAACTCAAGCTATTAAAAGACGTTAAAAATTTGAACTTTTAAAAGCCGTTAAGAATTCAATTTTTTAAAAGACGTTGAGAATTTGAATTTTTAAAAGCCGTTGAGAATTTGAACTTTTAAAAGACGTTAAGAATTTGAATTTTTAAAAAACCGTTAAGAATTCAAACTTTTGATGAATAGGAATTCTTTCCTCTGACTTTGACAAGGCTTTCCCATCTCTTCAAAACTTGCATCTGTCCCATCTGCACTTTAACCTTTCTCATTATCAACACATCCAACCAACAACCTCATCATCCAATCCCAAACCCCGCTCATAATTACCAAACAATTTCATCTTTTTCCTCATCAACTCTAAATTATTCATCGAAAAATTTCCCATTCTTCATTCACTCCGCTTCACTAGTTAACACTTTCCATAGTTCATCACTAAACAGAACAAAAAGCAACCACGATGAGAACACAGAAAACAACAGCAATTTTCAAGTCAGAACTCCAAAACAATTATCTAAATTGCTCCGCATCATCATCATCATTAAAAAAAAGTTCTTTACTTTATTTTTTCGAAATAAAAAAAAAATCAACAAGAAGAATGAAAAATAAAGAAGTAAAAATCAAGTCGAGTACTAGAAACATTAATGGTGTGTACCATGTATGTCCATTCACCGTTAGACACATTGTTCGTTCATGTCTATTGGATCATTCTACACTCTTAGTACTCCAAGTTTTGAGTGTAATGGTTAAGTAAGCGGCAATAAGAAGTGACGAAATGGACAGCAAAATGAAATTGATGATAACGAAGAGTGGATGCATGAGAAGATGAGAAGAAAAGGTTGTGGTTGTGATTTGAGTTGGGGTTGGAGTATGTGACGCATTTTGGGGAATTTTTGAGCTATGGACTTCCTGGATGTTTAGTTTTATTCTTTGATTTTTAGTCTAAACCCATGAATTTAATAGTATTTGTGTCTTTACCCTTGGATTTAGTAGATTTTGAGGTTAAATCTCTGGATTTAGAGGTAAAGCTTCTGAATTTTGAGGTTAAGCTTCTGAATTTTGAGGTTAAGTTTCTGAATTTTGAGGTTAATCTTCTGAATTTTGAGGTAAAGCTTCTGAATTTTGAGGTGTAGCTTCCGAATTTTGAGGTTATGTGTCTTCACCCTTGGATTTAGTAGATTTTGAGGTTAAATCTCTGGATTTAGTGGGTTTTGAGTCTAAACCCCTGGACTTAATAGTATTTGTATCCTAACCTCTGGATTTATCAGATATTTAGTCTGAAATCCTGAACTGAGTAGATTTTATGTTTAAACCCCAGAATTAAGTACATTTTGAGGTTAAATCTCTTAGTCAGTTTTGAGTCTAAACCCCTGGACTTAATAGATTTTGTGTCGCAAACCCTGGATTTATTAAATTTTGAGTCAACAGCGCTGAATCCAGGACAGATCTAACCTCAAAACATCCCAAAAACTCAACCACACCCAAACTGCACCCCAAAATTCAAACTTTTCTGTTCAAAACAAGAGCGAATAAAATTGTTAAATAAGTGCAAAGTTGTAGTTTTTTTTCTCATTTTTTTAATACTTTAAACGTCCGTACATTGGATGTATATATTTTTTACAAAATGTGGATATGAACTAGCGGAAGAACAATAAGAAGACAAGTTGACTCACCTGGATCTCTCAGAAGAAATTCTTTACGTTTTGTTGAGTTTTTTTTATTTGTTGTTGCTGCTGCGGTTTTTTTGTGTTTTTTACTTCAGCATTTGTGGGACTTTTTATTATTTTAAGATTATTTTGATGAATATTGCAACAATTTATGATAGACTTAATAGTAGAACTTTCAGGTTTATTAGCAAAAAAGTTGACAGATAAATTCGATTAATATTTCAGGTTGGATGAATTTTTTTTAAATTTTAAGCTTATTTTTTTATATTTTATAATTTTCACTTTTCACTCAATTTTTTTGACACTTTTGATGAACTTATTCCATGTTTAATTCGCTATTTTAGGGTGCAATTGTTTGCTCAATTCCTTTAATGGCTCACAAGTTTACTAAAAAAAATTTTAATTATTATTTTATTTATTTTTTTAAATTAAGTTTAAAAAAAAGTTTTCAGTCCAAATGAAAACACAATCATGCAGAACTGTCTTGTTTTTTGAACCTCCTACTCACTGACATCTCGTCCCTACACTACCAGGCGCATAGCGAAGGGGAATTTCAGCATGGCCCGATCTTCAAATTCCTGGGTACGTCCCTGTCCTCTACCAAACAAGAACCCGAAAAACACAAGGCAGTTAACCGAATAGAAATCCAACACGAAGCCGGTGTGATTCTGGCATGGTGCTGGACTTATTTAATAATAATAATGTGAGAGGGTTTCAGCAAAGCGGTGTGTTACCACAAGTTGCGACGATCTGAGGCAATGCGATACTGATCGATGATAGAATCTTTTGTACCGTGCTGGACGTAAGTCGAATCCAGAATCCAACACTATGTCAGAGTCATGCTAAGTTGGGATTTATATTTGCATGACCGACAAATGTAGTTCAGGTTTATAAGCTTATAAGCTTCTTATTATTAGTTTGTTTCCTATTTTACACGCGATTGACTAGCAATCTATTGACAATACTTGACTTTAGTAATCAAAAATACATGATTCTACTAGATTCTGACTTGTTGGGTACAAACTAGACTTTACACTAGTAGGAAAGCTACTATGTACTCGATTGCAGTGATGGTGAACCTAAAAACCTCATGTCACCTACGAATCTCATGTCGTGAATGGCTTTGGTCATGAATTACCTTTAAAGTGTACACTGTAATGTGATAACAAAAAAGGTTGATACAACTTGCTCTATTGCAATATTAAGCTTAAGATATTGATGCCCAACCCCAAAGCCGCAGCACACTAGTTTACACCAAGAAATTTTGGAAATTTCCATGTCGTATGTAAATTTAAGTCATGGCTTATCATCAAGGTGTGCCGTGACACAAAAATGGTTGTTAACGTAGATTAGTGTGCAGGAGTGCTCAACTTTTTTTTCTACAACGAAAAACTTAAGCGCTGGTGCGTTGCTTTGCAGCACACTAGAGCAATAGTCACATTCAAGATTGCTTAAATCTTTCACGACAAACCAGATACATAGGTTGAAACTTTCCGTGAAGCACAGGTTGACCATCACTCTACAACAACAGATTCATTCAAAGTCATGAACGAAGCGAAATGAAGCATTAAACAGCACTTCCCCACACTGGTCTTTTAGGAAAAGAAAAATCAATGAACTTCACCTGAATTTTTGAGTTCTTTGCTGTTGTTTATAAAGGGGTGCATCCAATGACACAACTGAGAAACTGACAATTATGAAGTTTTTTCTACAGACCCTCCTCCATCTACAAATATTTCAAATTCTACTCTCAATAATTAGACATATTAACTCAAATTTCCCCACTTTTCATTTAACTTTTCCAATTATAAATTCCACAAAACTTCCGAACCAAACCCAAAACACAACAAAAAATTTATTTTATTGCAAAAAATAAAAAATTAATTTCAACATGAAAATTTTCTGGACTGAAAACTTTTTTTATCCGCTCTCCACAGCGTTTCTGATTTTTCATTCTTCTTACATTTTTTTTATAATTTTCTCTCTCTTTTCTCACAATTCGCTGATTTTCATATTTTTTTCCACTTCACCGAAATTCTGATTCAACTTTTTTTTTTCACTAAGAAATTTTTTTCTTCTCTTTTTTTTCACATTTAAAATTGAACTTTTCACACAATTTGAATGAATTTTCCGAAATTTCACAAAATTTTCAGCTCGCCGAGCTTCGATTTTATTTTTTTGTCTTGATTTAAAAGCAAAAAATATTTTTTATTTGTGGGTGAGCAAAGTGAAAAAAAAATTTTTTCAATCTTTTATTTCTCGTCATTGACTTGAAATCTTAAAATTTCGTCACTTTCACTCGATTCACGCGATACTCATTGTCAATTTCATTCACTTTAAGTGCTCCAAAGTCGGCCACAATTTCCACAATTTAATTTTTTTCAACCTCTTTTTTGCCAACTTCGATTCTCGATGAAAACTTTTTCTTTTCTGCCTCGGTTGAAAAAAAAATTTTTTTTTTCTTCTCTTTGGTGTCACAAACACTGTTTGGATTATTTTTTTTCTATATTTTTTGTTGGTGTTGGTGAGCGTCGACAGTTGCTTCGTACCCACAAATTTGTCGACTGTTGAGCTGTACAAATGTTTATTGTGGCTTACGTATTAGCCGGGCAGGCAAAGTTATACTTGTTGACAGTGTCAGTTGACGTTTTCGTTTGTTTTGAATCTTTTTTTGGGTGATTTTGAATTAATTATGGAATTTTTTTTTGTGGAATTTTTGAAGATTTTGATTTGAAATTGATGATTTTTGTGGGAAATTGCTGAATTTTGTTCATAAAATTGAAGCTTTTCTGTAAATTTTGCACAATTTAAAATGCAATCTTGCAAAATTGTTCAGTTTATGTTTAAAAATTGGAGGGAAAATTAAAAAAAATAAATTCTGAAACTTAAAGTTTTGATTATTTTGTGATAATTACCTGTTTTTTGTTGATTTAATTTGCAATTTTTTTTTCATAATTTTGCACTTTATTCATCACATTCTTGGCCTTTAAGCTGTAAATTGCAATACTTTGGAGATAAGTTGTGTAAAAGTGACAAATTAGACTGAATTATTAAGTTTTTAATTAATATTTAAAGCAAGTTAATTAAAATTGACTCAATTCAACCAAAAACTAGATCAAAAGTCATTAAAATCTGAGCCAGAAGCTCTTTTAGGTGGATTAAGCATGACAAGTTGTTAAAAATTGCAAAATAATCAACATTAAAATCTGAAAACCTTTCAAAAGTATTGAATATCTCAAAATAAATAAAATTATTCTAGATTTTGATAAAATCATTCAAAAACTCAACCCAAAATCATTCGTTAAGAATAACAAATCAAACAACACAATGAATAATTGTGTCAATAGCGCATTTTGACCCCAAATTGACCAAAAAACACACCGATAAAGATTACAAATCATTCAACAAAACCAATAAAAATCAAGACAACTCTTTGAAAATTTTAATTAATAACCAAAAACCTTCAATAAATTTCAAAATTAATCAAAAAGCTCATAAAAAAACAGCAGCGATCAAACAATGAAGCGCTCAAATTCTGATGACTTCAACAATTCTGAATATGCAGCTAAAAAGAAACAAAGACTGTCAAGCGAAATGTACAAAATTGTGAAATATTTTGAACCAATTAATGAAGTTATTGAAATTAGTGATGACGATGAGAGAGAATTGAGTCCAGCTGACAGGTAAAAATAATTAATTTTCAATTTATTTTGTCTCTAGCGGCTATTATGGGTCTGGCTTCTTAGGTATACAGTAGGGCGGCTATGGTTAATTGAACTTGAAGGTCTAAGACAGTATTTTCCAAATTTTTTGAGCCACGACACACTTTGGTTGAACACGTCATGGCTCGCGTCATTTCCAAAAACTTTCTACGCCACACAGTGTTTCGCGGCACACAGTTTGCACAACACTAGTCAAAGCGAATCAAAAGTCACCCAAAAAACCTGTCCCTGACACAATTTTGCACCATAACCTCAAAATCTATTTTTGCTTAATTTTCATCATCAGTGGCTTCAAAGAACCCAGCACATCATCCAGCTCATCACTCAAACATATCCCAATAACCTCAAGAAAGCCACTTTTAGAGCAATCTTTACCAAATCGAGGATCATCAAGAATACAAAAGCTTCAAGAAGAAGAACAGAAATTAACGCAATCTGAGAAAATTTTACGACAAACTTTAAAATACCAAAACTTAATTCATCCATTAGAGTCTACAGCAACAGCAATAAGTCGGTACAATCCACAAGTTAACTGCCGGATACTCACAAAATATGAAATAACAAAACGAGTGCAATTAGGAAAAATTATTCCAAAAGTTCAAGAATTTCCATCTGAAATTGAGTTTCAAGGATTGATTTTGCATCAATGGAGGAACTACGATCGTCAACATCTACATTATTTTGTACGGTGGATTCCAGTGAACGTTCTAGATGATGAATGGGTCATTGCTGATCATGCAAAGGCAACAAAGTTGAAGAAAACAATGAAATTGTCAGAACTTAACACGAGGCAGAGACGAATAATTTGTGAAATGATTTTTAAGGGGTTGAAAATTTGACTGAAATTTCATTTTAATTTGAAAAGGTATTTAAATAAAATTTGGAATTAAGTTTAAAACAATCTAGGAAAAATTGATCAAAAACTTGTACAAAATTGTGATCTAAAGGCTATCAATGGTAGCTTTATTGTTTGAGAGTTAGTATTTTTAAATAAAGTTTTAGGAAAAAATTTAAATTTGGAATTTTAACCTCAAATATTTCAGCTAGAATCGACATAACCTCAAAATTTCGAGAAAAAGTACTACATAACCTCAAAATTTTGTAAAAAAGGCCAACATAAACTCAAAACCAAAAGAAAATTTCAAGCTATGCATTAAAAGCTGCACTTAACCTCAAAATCGTCCGAAATTCAACATAAGCTTAAAATATTCTGATTCTTATAAACATTACCTTAAAAGTTTAACTCAACAAAGATTAAACAAAATCTTAAGAAATTACAACCTACAACCCCCCCCTCTCCCCCCTCACCCTTCTATGAACATACTAAAGCAAACGAACCAGGGTCCGGTTTCTAGGTCTTAAATTCTTGTAGGTCTTCATTAATAAAATTGATCTGAGACTAAGGTTGAGTCAAAGGGGTTGGGGCAACTTCCCCCCCCCCCCCCTCTTTTTTGACAAAATTCCTTTCATTTTCTAGGATCTTTGATAAAATCATCTCAAACCAGCCTTAAATTTTATTGTTCATACACAAAAGTTTTAAAATCGGCTACGATTCTCGATAGAGCCTGGTAAGCTCACATGTCAACCTCTAACAATTTCAATTTACATGATTTTATATAGATTCAAAAAAGTCATCTAACCTTGCACAAAAATCGAATCTTGATCAAAATCGTGACTATTGAAATCATTGGCTTTTTTAAAATGATAATTAAGTGCTTTTGAGTCCATTGTCATTGTTCGCCAATAATAAAAAACAACTTAAAAGACAGTAAAAAGTCCTCAAATAATAATTAACGACAATATGGAACAATGAGTCAAGCAATAAAGATTGTTTTTAAGGCGTGTGCTCAAAAATGAAAGGAAAAGTGAGAAAACTAGCTTCTTGACACGCTTCTAGGTACCGACAATGATAAAACCTAACATTTGTAGCTTGAACTGTTAAGTTTACAGCTGTTTTAAATAGTTTTAAGGTTAACAACAATCATTGGGAAGTTCACAAAATGACAAGACCAACCTCCTTTTCCCTCCCTTTAGAAGTGTAAGCTTAACATTTTATAAGGTTGTGGAGGCTCCAGAAGTCAGGTTTGAGTAGCCTGTCTTTCAGTTTTTGCTGACTTTAATTCTAAAAAATCAGGACAGAACAAATTTTCAAGCATTTTTCAAGAAAACTTAATTCTTAAAAGTGAAACTGTCCCACTCAAAAGTGTGCAGTTCGAGAGCCTAGGTTTGACGGCAAAGATGATCCAAAACCAAGTTTCCTTGACATTAACCCCTCATCATTTTTATCATGACTTTATAAAACTTTAAGTTCAAAAATGTTCAAAACTAATCAAAAAATTAATTCATAAATAACAAACATTTAATCAGGTTTTTAATAAAAAATTATTTTTATTTTTTAAAAAAGATTCTAAAATCTATCACGACTTTTATAGAAGTCCCATGACAATCACAATGTAAATCCAGCTCGTGACGCCACTCAAAGCAAAACTTTTCGCTTTCTCGATTTGACTTGAAATTATAAAAAAGTCCAGGCAGTTTTATTTTACATGTCATCGAGCAAAGACTGAAAATAAAAAAAAATTAAAAGAAATGAATTTTTTACAAATTATAATATTTTTAGTAGCACTTAAATCCACATTTTGTGGAAGTCCAGAAGCTTATTTGACATTTTGCCGCAAATATTTTGACATTTTTGACTCAAATTTGAGGTATTTTGAGTCGTCGTGCTTTGTGGACATAACAGTCAATTGGGATACAGCAAAGAGGATCTGTGAAGCCAACAATATGATTTTAATGCCAAATATCAACGTTGCTGTTCAGGACAGTATTCTTAGAACATCAAGTCAAATTTATGGCACAGATCGTCCAAAAACAATTTGGATAAATGGCAATAAAGCAGTTACTGGGAACTGGACGATCTATACAGGCACAAATTCACAAAGATATCAATGGTCTGGTCGTCTGGCGTGGGCTAATTCAACAGCTCAAAACTTAGGAAACTGCATGACAGTAACAAACAGCAATGGACAATTTAAAATATCAAGCAGTGACTGCCAAAGTGAATATTCATTTATTTGTAGTTTTAACAGAACAATTATTTAGTTTTTGTAGTGACAAATTTTTGTTGTTTTGTTAAATTTTAGTGAATAAAAAAAATTGTGATATGAAATTTTATAAAGTTAAGTCTCATGGGTTTTTTATTGAATTTAGAAACCTTCTGTTTAAAAAATAGTCCTGGGCTCAACAATGATGAATAGGTTAGATGATTGTGGTGATTTGGTCACAGACCAGCAACTTGTGAAGCACAGGAAGTGAAAAGCTTGAGCTCCAAGGACAAAGTCAAAGAAATGCGCGCCTTTTTATGAGATCTTATGCTTCTGGGGCAAAGGCCCAAGCTTGACTTCCTCTCATGCTACGCTACTGTCACCAAGCCAGATTCTTCTAGCGTTGATCTTTGGGAGAAGATTAAGAAGGTGTATTGTAAGTGGTAACGACTGAGGCTTATCATTCAAGTTAAAGATCCATAATCAGACGAGTCACACCATGTAGGAAGTACTTACCATCACCCTGCATAATTCATAGTTACTTTGACTACAATTAAGACTTGAAAGCAAATTCAACTTACCGATTTCAAGGATCAAAAATATCCTTACCAACTTTCCTTGTGGACCTTCCTCAAGAACATAAGAATGCTATCATAGAAAACTTGGTATGGTACAAAAGATCATCAATCTCAGTGCAGCTTTTGCTCCAAGCAAACCTCTACGGTTCTATTCTATCTATCATACCTTGTGAAACATTTAAAAATAATTTCAAGCCAAGAATTAACCAACAAAATAGCGGCATCCAACTCACAAGTTTAAAAACTAATTAATATTTCAAGTTTGCTAGCAATTCTAACTGAATTGATCTTGAAAGTGGAAAAATGAAATTAGAAAAAAATCACAAATAGAACAAACAAAAAAAATTTTAATTGCTTTTTACAGAGCTTGAAGTCGATAGGGTTCGAGTCGACTCGATTCAAAACTAAGTCGACTCAACTTTTCTCGAGTCGACTCGAGTCGACTCGAGAAAAGTTGAGTTGACTCGAAAAAACCCGAGTCAACTCGAGTCGACTTCGAGCTCTGGCTTTTCAGCTTTGTAAAACTTAATTTTAATTTTAAATTTTTGCACTGCTTTAGCTTCATCTTGAGATTAAAGTTTTACAGCTTGAAGACTGTTTTACCGACAAAATTGGATTTCTTTAACGGATTTTTAAGATTTAAATAAATGATATTCTTGAGTAAATGTTGAACATTATATAATCTAGAATTCAGAATTTACCCGAAGAATCGAGACTTTTTCAACTTTTAACGTTTAAGTTCTTTATTGAGGTACTTTTTTATACTTCAAAGCTTTGAATTTTTAATTGCAATTATAAGCATTATTGACAGTAAGGCTAAGTTTATTAGGAAAACTTAATTTGATTATTAAATCTTAGCCAAGCGTCTAAACTTATTATATAGAAAAATTACTTTTTATTCTTTAAAATATTTTTAATTTCCCTCAATTCCTCCCTCATTTCCCTAATTTCCTGAGTCATCGCATCCTTCTCATTATCCATCATCTTCTTCTCCTTTCTAGCATCCAAAATATTCCTTATCTTCTTTCCAATCTTACTATCCAACCTATTACAAATTAGACAGCATTTCGAGTCCTTTGTCATCTTTAATTTACTCTTTATGCATCCAAAGTCGCTGTCATCATCGTCAATTTCCACAAATGTTTCACTTGGTGACTGCCTGAGCTCTTTCGATGTCACTAAGTATCCTTTGTTCGGTTGAATGTAAATCTTTCCGTCAGGCATTGAATGTGGAAAAACAGTCACGAAACTTTCAAGTCTCTTCCAACATTTAAATCCTTTCATTTTTCCCATAATCATTTTTTCGTACCTTCTAAGGACCTTGATTCTTGCACACAGGTCAATAAGTTCACCTTCAGCTTTAATTTTTTGAGTATCATCAACAGCAAGAGCACTAAGGAGGTTGAATAAGACAATTGTGACCATAAAGATGAATAACAGGAACATAATGCAGTAGTAAGCTCCTTTTGAATGTAGTGACATTGCTGCAGCATCAAATTCACCAGTGAGCATGACAAATGTCTTGATTATTGCTATTCCAGGGTATGCAAAGTTTGTGAAGTCATCATTGGTGTTTTGTGGGTTTGTTGTTGAGGATTCGGGTGTTTTGTTGGAGTCTGAAGTGGATGTGTCTAAAAGTTACCAGAATGTATGTTATTAGCTTCACACTAGGCGTCTAATGATAGTTTTTTTCTTGCCTATAGCTAACCTAAACCTTACCTAAACCTAACCTATACCTAACCTATAGCTATCCTATAGCTAACTTATACCTAACCTATACCTAACCTATACCTAACCTATACCTAACCTATACCTAACCTATACCTAACCTATACCTAACCTATACCTAACCTATACCTAACCTATACCTAACCTATACCTAACCTATACCTAACCTATACCTAACCTATACCTAACCTATACCTAACCTATACCTAACCTATACCTAACCTATACCTAACCTATACCTAACCTATACCTAACCTATACCTAACCTATACCTAACCTATACCTAACCTATACCTAACCTATACCTAACCTATACCTAACCTATACCTAACCTATACCTAACCTATACCTAACCTATACCTAACCTATACCTAACCTATACCTAACCTATACCTAACCTATACCTAGCCTATACCTAACCTATACCTAACCTATACCTAACCTATACTTAATCTACAACAAACAGAAATACTTACCAATTCCTCCTTTACCATCACCATGAGCCTCATCATCACCACCAAACAGGACAAAGAAGCTAAGCGCAAATGCGACCAACAATATCGAGTACAACAACAATGATTTTAAGAAAGTAAATGCAACTTTCTGTAGAATGACCATGTGACATGAAATCGATAAGAATGGCAACTCTCCAACTAGATGCAGAAACTCAAATGCAGCACATAGAATTGTAAATGCACGCAGCACTCGAATCTCATTGAAATTTATTGTATTTTCCAATATTTGTGATGAAAATGCCAAAATAATGAAGATAATTTCGAAAATATTGATCGATGACTTGAAATAATTTATATTTGAGGAAATTGACAGCAGCAGTTGGAACAGCTCTCTCAAAAACAGCAAGAATATCCCAAAAAGTGACAAAGCTTTGAAAAATGTGAAGCTTGAACTTTCGGATTTTTCAGCATCCGTCATTGTGTGTGACATGATGATGTACCTGATAAAGCCAAGCATCAAAATAGTGAACATGATGAAGTTTGAGTAGAAAATTAGACTCAGTCGCTTCCATTTTAGGTAAATAAACGTCGCAATTACAACATGAGCAATTAATGGACGAAGTTCTGAATTTTTTGACATACTTTCGAGTGACTCGACTTCTCCAGAGGATCCAGGTGGTCGAAGGATCCCAAAATCTATCGAAATATTCACTTCCTTTTGTTCTTTGTCTTTTGGAACTTGAATCAGTTCCACTCGACTATCTAATGCCTCCTCAAGCACATCAGCCTTCATGTCATCCAACGGAGTTTCATTAAACTTATTTTTTGGCGCCAAAAATGCATTATTTTCGAGTAGTTTGAGGATAGCCGGTGAGTTTCTATGATGTGCAGCATAGTGCAGTGGAGTTGATCCCAAGTCATCTGGCTTATTAACATCGGAGTAAAGCAAAGCAATTTCAAAGCACTTTTGGTGGTCAATTTTTGGATCTTTTGATGATTTTTGGTAACTTGCATGCAGGATTTGGTGAAGTAAATTTTCAGTTGTTGGAATCATGGCTTGAAGGACCTTATAGTAGCCATAGGAGCATGCTAGCTCAGCTGGTGACTTCACGACTCCGTCCATCCTTTGGTTAACATTGATTCCTTCAGAATTTAGTGCCTCAATGACTTCATGACTGCCATTTGTGACTGCTTCGTACACAAAAGCTGTGCAAAATTCATGAAATTTTTCATCTTCATAATTTTTGACTTTAAAGCTTTTAAAGGTTTTGATGAATTTATCGTCATTTCTTTTGAGCAGCAAGTTCTTCATGAAGTCAAAAGTCAAGTCAGCCTCGATTTTTTCAGGAACTTTCAAGTGTGGATTTTGATTCTTAAACATTGTCAGCATGTCATCTGATTTATAGTTGTGGACATCAACTGTGTAGTTCTCGACAATAAACTCTATTAATTCTTGACACTTTTTGACTTTCTGTTGGATTTTAAGAAGCATAAAGAACGGAGTTCTGGAATGGTCGTCGGGGGTGTTCACATTGACGCCATTTTCTAGTAAAATTCTAATGCAAGCTGACAATTCTGAATAATTGTCATTTGTGATCTCTTTGATCAGTAAGTGTAAGCAATTCTTGTCACCAAATTTAATGTTTGATCTGGCGGAGTCGAAGTGCTTGAAGAAGATTTCGAGATTTTCTGATGAAAATGAGTCGATGACGTAAAAAATTGGTGGACGAAGGTCGACTTTGTTGTTCTAAAATACAGAGCGAAATTAAGTCTTGTTAATCAGCCCAGCATAAAGTCATAAAAGTTATCAAATATGTTCTTAACCCCAATACCAACCTCATACAAATCAGCTCCATGTTCAATACACAATTCAATATATTCAGATGAGTTTGGTTCCCTCAGAATAAGCTTGAATATCGAAGCTCCAATTCTGTCATCAACTATAGCATTTGGATCAGCTTTAAGCCTCTCAAGAGCAAACTTAAAGTCGTGTAAGTTTCTTCTGATAAAGGAGTCATGCAAGGCATTCTAAAAGGTTTCAAATAAACAATTTTAATCTAATTTTGAAGGTCCTTAAGACTCAAATTTCTTACCTGAGGACTCTCAAAGAATGATGGAATATTGATTGCCGTTAGAGCCATTGCCATCTTTGTCTACTTTCTTGATTGAATTGCCTTGAAAAAATGTATTGGATATTTTCCCAAAAGTTTGCCTTTTCTTGTCCTTAATGTGTTTCTTGTTCACTTCCTTTGAACAACAAAAAAGGCAAAAAAAATTCTTTCGTTCTACTTGATTAAGTTTCTTATCTTTTTATTATCGTCCACTTCAATATTGATCGAAATGATGAGGCAAAAAAATATGAAAGAAATAATGAAAATTTTGTTAAGAAACTCGTGCGTGTTGACACTCAATAATGTTGAATTTCCTGTAAAGAAAGTAAAATAAAAAGATGAATTAAAAGTTGAGAATTTTGGGACATGAATTCTGGTATAGTTGGGTAGTTTAAGGTGACTTTTGAGGTTACATGTTTGATTTTTGGCTGTATTTTACTGGATTTTAAATTTTTGTACCATCCTAACTAGTCATGTTGCTACATTTGACTGAATAGAGCCTTAAAAACCATCCCTATCCCTCCCTATCCCTCCCTATCCCTCCCTATCCCTCCCTATCCCTCCCTATCCCTCCCTATCCCTCTCTATCCCTCCCTATCCCTCCCTATCCCTCCCTATCCCTCCCTATCCCTCCCTATCCCTCCCTATCCCTCCCTATCCCTCCCTATCCCTCCCTATCCCTCCCTATCCCTCCCTATCCCTCCCTATCCCTCCCTATCCCTCCCTATCCCTCCCTATCCCTCCCTATCCCTCCCTATTCCTCCCTATCCCTCCCTATCCCTCTTTAAAATAATGTGACCTTGTCAAACTACCCATCTATCACCAAGTCGCCTCAATATCTTCAAAAAACGCACTATATAACACCAAATCAGCCCTTCCCTCCCAATTCCCAATCAAACAATCCACACTCGCTTCCCAGCCAACCTCACAACAAACAAAATCCAATCTTCGTCCGAAAAAAGAACAAACAATTGAAAATTGAAGTGAATAAAAAGTCAAGGACATGAACATATTCTTCATCAATCATCACACATATTCCAATCTTTGTTTTGTATATGCATCACTTCATATCACATTATGTCATTTGTTTTGCTGATTTTTTTTTTTTTGCTTTTGTTGTGTGATGAAAATGGAGATGAAATTCAGGATTGATGAATAATTCATGGGAGATGTGGAATTTCATTAGGGAATATATTTGAGATCGGAATGACTAGCAGGGTGGGAGGAATTATATTCTATATACAATTGAGCAGTTTAGTATTAAAAACCTTTAAAAAATTGAGAATATTTGAATTATTCTTGTGATTGTTGATAAGCTTAGTTTAAATTTTGCATGTCACAAATGAGTTATGCTCGTGGTTTCTCTGCCAATTCAGCCATAACATAATGCTGTGTCTAAGCAACAAATTTACATTAATTTCTACTTTTAACTTTTTATTTTGTGGTTCACTCTATAATTATTAAGTTTTACTTTCATAAATAAAAAATGAAAAGTTTGCTATTTTTTACCAATATAGTAATTAAGTTTTTGCTAAGAGAAGACACGTTAGGGTGTTGTTGGTCAAGCTATGAAGTAACTTAACTCCTTGTTCTGTTATTTTACAAAAATATCGTAAAACTCTTGCATGCATTCTTAATCTGCTTATAAATCAGTTTTAATTACACATGTGGCAAATGTAAATTCATATTATGTATGGATGGCATAAAAGAAATTTTTTATTCATAATTAGGCTGTCCTTCGGATTTAATTTTTAAATAGCGGGACATGTCAAAATTTCAGCTCTAAAAAGCGGAACAGACCAAATTTTCAAGCATTTTCCAAGAATAATTGGCTCTAAAAAGCTGGACTTTAAGAATCTTTAGTCGGGATTTTGTTCAAAAAAGCGCGACTGTCCCAAATAAAAGTGCCTAGTTGGACAGCCTTTTCATAAAACATAGCTTGAAACCACATGTGGTAATCAACTGAATTATATGAATATGCGAGCATTTGCTCAATCCTAAATACTATTAAAATAGAAACAGCAAGAAAATCCCAAACCCAGAATGTAATCTCATGCAGTTCAAAGATTAATGTGAAAAAATAATGGATTTTTGGGTGATAAAGGGTCAGGGAGGGGTTATCAGTGTAGTAGCCAAGAAAGTCTTGCCATTTTGAGACGTACCAAGGGTATAACCAGAAATTTGAAGGAAGGGAATACAACAAAAATTTTTAAGATGGAAAAATTTAGAGGTAGAGGGTAGGATTTCAGGATTTTTTCATAAAAACCCTAGCAGAAAGAAGATATTTCTGTTGTTGTACCCAAATCCTCCACTGGCAACGCGTTTAAGACGTACTTTCTCTGCGATTCAAAACGTTTAGGGTGGAGGGGGGCAAGACTCTTAAAGCTACACCACTGGGGGAGGGGGTGAATTCATAAGTGAAAAATATTCACACCCCGTTACACAAATACCCCGTTTACGCCTCTGATTATTGTCAAATGGGATATAGAGGAGGAAGGAGGAAAAGTTAATTGCATTCATTTTGCTTTATTTTAGTCAAAAATTGAATCATTTCGCAAGATAACTTTAAAGATGTTCAAATAATCTATAAAATATTGTAGTCAATAATCAAACAATAAATCACAGTCAATCCTTAAGTTTTACTACCAATTACAGTACTTCATAACATTCTTGACCCATTCACAACAGCCTTCCACACACTTCCTTAATTTACCCACCAAAAAAATCTACAGCAAGAATCATAAAACTTTATTACACAGCAGAAAATAAAAAAAAAAACTTTTTATTAACAACAGTTCAACTTCATATAAGAACTATATGTCCATTCAGTTCCATCAAGTTTCACATGACCGACGATACACACACACACAAAAACTCAGTCAGAGCTCCACAATAAAAATGCGAAAATTGGATTTTTTTTTTGTTTTACTTCCTTCATCAGCATACGAGGCGAGGAACTTTATTGCGTGCAATCGTTGAATTTAAAAATGGAAATTTTTTTGGGAATTGGATAAAAATTGTTGGGAAGGGTTTGAAATGAAACAAAAAGTTTTTAAGGCTGTAATGGAGATATGAAGAGATAGGAAAAAGTTTTTTATGATGCTTTAAATCTTTTGAGCATTTTTTGGGGTGCAGAATGGTTTTGGTAGCTTTAAGCTTATGTATTGAGATGGTTTTGAAGGATTTTGTGGAATATTGTTCAAATGTTGTCTAAAATTTGTTTGAATTCAGCAACTAATGCATACATTTACAAATAAAGACAACAAGTTCATCTCAGCAACTCAAACCTGACCTCAAGCATAGTCTACATCAATCAATAGCCACCCACATTCTTCACAAGATGTTTACACATAAATAAACAAAAGAATTTCCATTTACATCCCTAAAAATAGACAACAATCAATACTCATTCCACACCAGTTGCCTTAAAATATGCAAAATTATTTTTAATCAATAATTAATGCCGAAAGAAATGCTCCGGAAACTGCTCGACTGTTAATAACGTCATTAACATCTAAAGAGCATTAAAATTCTCATTTTTTTCATCCCCATTTTAACAATTTTCATTCTTTTCATTTAGTAATGCAGAGTTTCTCAAACTTTTTAAGTAGCGGTCCATTTAAATTTTTGCACCACGCTGACAACCACTATTGACACATCTGGAATTTGCTCGCATTTTAATAAGGCTCCGCAGAGCATAGTTTGAGAAGCACTGCATTAAAGTCATAAAATGCGACTGAAAACAATGAAAAATTTTTCTGAGCAATTTTCTTGTCATAAAGATGCAATCTTATTGGATTTTTTTTTTTCGGAGATTATTTTGCTGTTTGTCTGGATGTTAATTTGTTGTGAGTTTTTGGCAGAGATCGAAGCCGATTTTTTCGGCTTAACTCAATTTTTGATTTTTTTGATAGAAAAGAGCCATTTAACTACCATTTTAAGTATTTAAATTGAACTTTATATGCTTTACTTTGATTCTGTGTAATATTTTGTCAGCATGGAGCTATAGTAAGCTCAGAATTTCAATTTAGCCGATTTTAAGCCGATCGGCTTAAATTTCGGCTTAAAATCGTTTAACTTGAAATTCTGAGCTTCCAATGGCTACATGTTGACAAAATATTACGTAAAGTTCAATTTAAATACTTGAAATGGGTGTCAAATGGCTTTTTTCTATCAAAAAAATCAAAAATTGAGTTGAGCCGAAAAAATCGGCTTCGATCTCTGGTTTTTGGGATGTTCCAGGCGCGTAGGCAGGGGAGAGATTTTTGGAACGACCCAAATTTAACTGAAATTTCTACATTTTGATAGGGTTTTCTGTTGAAAAAATTCTTAAAATCCCCCTTCTTTAAATTTTCTTTAGGAATATTTTTTTGTCTCTCCCCACCCTCTTCTAATTCCTGGGTACGCCTTTAAGATGTTTTGAGTCAGGAGCCTTTAAAAGTTTTGAACTGCATCGGAGAGCACGGATCAAAATTTTCAGAAGGGGGGAGGGGGTCCAGTCCCTCCTAGCTGGCTCCTGTGATGAAAGTTTAAGAGTGAGGTTTGGAAGATAGAGTGAGGATAAATTGAGCATTTTAATTTTTTGGTGAATTTTTTTTTTGATTTTATTGAGGAAAATGTACACGCCCTTTGTAGAGGTTTGGCGTGTCCACATATTTTTTTTGTAAAAAAAGAGGACCTAAAGGTAGGGTGACCATCTAATTTTTATGAAAATACAGGACATTTGATAAATTTCCTTAAAAAATACAGGACACAAAGGAAAATTTGAAAATTAACGGAAATTTTCGTGAAAAAAATACAGGACCTGGAACAAAATTTTCAAATTTATACAGGACATGGTTTTGAAATACAGGACTGTCCGTTGTAAAACTACGCAGATGGTCACCCTACCTAAAGGTAACATAGAGGTCGTACCATGTGTCTATCTATTTAATTCGTATTCTGGACAAATTAGAACAAAACAAAACTATTTTATTTTTGAAAAATGAAAAAATTAGAGCAGATGGTCAGCCTAGGCTTGGTTCAATTTTATAATAATTAAAATAAATCTCCTTTTGCAGGAGGAGACAGAGGGACCTTTCATAAATAATATTCATCAACATTAATAAATTTTTCCTTATTACGTGTCATTAATTCTTTCAGATTGTTGAATTTTCAGCACTTAAATTAAACTTAATTTAATTTATTATTCTTTCATAGTTTATATATTTAAATAAAAAACACTCTCAAATTGACTAAATTGAGCAGCAAAATTTAAAACTTCGATAAAAAAAATAAATCTTTTGATTTTTCAACATTTTTTTTAAATAAAAATTTGATTTTTTCTTTATTTTATTAAACTTTTACTTTTTTGTTCTTTGATTGTCAAGTTGACTCATAAGTTTGCTGCACTT